GAACTCATCCAGAACTAAGCAAAGTTACATGCATGTAGGATGTATCTGTTAAAGATTCTTGATTACAAGCAACAGAAACCAAATCTGGCTAGAAAAGAGTCCAGTGTGGACTTCTACTCAGAAGAGGCAGGGACCATGGTGGTTCTGGGGATCCAGGTGGGAAGGATTCATAAACAATCTTATCAAGCTAGGATGAGTCAGCTCCAACTACTTTCCCCATTCCCCTCAAGTATTCAAAGTCCTGGGAGGGGATCCAGTGAGCTTGGTCATATGCCCATCCCTTGGCTAGAAGAAGTAAACACACCTTGTCATCCATTCCCAACAGGGTGACATAAAGCAGAAGACGTGATTCTCCAAAGGAAAACAGATCTGGCAATCAAAAGACAGGGAATAGATGCTGGTGGCCACAAACCAATCAATGGTCACTCCACTGGGAGAGAGTGTGTGAAGGAGAGGAGAGAGCTGAGGGCAGACAATAATATAGCACCCACATATGGGAGGAGAAGGATTTGATGAGGGAAAGACAAAGGCTGGCTAAGGAATTGGAGAAGAGAGAAAACAGGCAAAGGAATTTCAAAAATGGGCAAAACACCAGAGTTATATGCTGCCAAGAGATCAAGGGTGATAAAGAATGATGAAAAACCACTGGGGCTGGCATTGGAAGTTATTAGTAACCTTTGAGAGAGATGGGGGCGGAGTGGAGGAAGAGAGAGAGGGAGGAGACAGTGACGCAGGTAAGAAGCGAGGGCAGAGAGAGTATAAAAGAAAGGGAGGCAGGCTTCCCCGGTGGCGCAGTGGTTGAGAGTCTGTCTGCCGATGCAGGGGACACGGGTTCGTGCCCCGGTCCAGGAAGATCCCACATGCCGCTGAGCGGCTGGGCCCGTGAGCCATGGCCGCTGAGCCTGCGCGTCCGGAGCCTGTGCTCCGCAACGGGAGAGGCCACGACAGTGAGTAGGCCCGCGTACCGCAAAAAAAAAAAAAAAAAAAAAAAAGGAAGGCGGCATCCTTGTTTGGTGGTAAAAGGAAGAAGAGAAGAAGAGCTAGGTTGTTGTTTGAAGGGGTCAGCATCGCAGTGGGCCTCAGCACCCAGGGCTTCCCACCTTCTTTGGTGCAAATGTAAGTAGAAAATAATCCCCAGCCCAGCACTTACTGACGTCCTTTCTCTGAAGCCCTTGGTGAAAAGTAGCGACGATAGTGGGCAAGTGTGAACTGATGCTCTGGTTGAATCTGTTTCAGAAGTTACATAAAGAGGAAACTGGAATTATTTGAAAGCCAACTTGAAAGGGAAATAAAAAGACAAAAAAATACCTATTATAAGCTTAAAAAAAGAATTCATACCAATGCAACAGTCCCAGAAACTAATTGTCTAAGTGAACTGTTATAACCAGTCTCCTTTCCCCTGGTTGAAACAACCTTACGAAACAGCATTTGCATCTATAAAGTTGTGTAACAAGTCGTCTTGTGGTGAAATGCATTTTAAATAGGGGTTAGATAGGAGAGGAGCAACTATTATTATCTTATTATAGAAACATCAGTAGCTCTTCCAGACAAAACACCATCACCCATTGGGAGCTAAGGATAGCTTTTACTTAAACACAAGGTCATACTGTTTGGGTGTATGAGGGAGCAGTGGGGGTGGGGTGGGGGGGATTTTCATCTTCTTCCAAAGCACTCAAAGCTGGACCTCTTCCAAGAGAGGAAATGAGACTAAATAGATCATTTGTTTTATTCTGTTTGGGCATTTCTTGCGTTTCTCCCAACTGCGGCTTATGGACACAAAGCCAAACTCAGAGACTGGCTGGAGCTGGCTAAACTCCAGGTCACTTAAAAAAAAAAAAAATTAAGGAATAAACCATTTGAAGCTCTATCAGAGGATTAAGGTAAGCCACACAATTGAAGGACAAAATGAAATTCTGCTGTGAATGTGAAGTTGTACAAAAAGAAGCAGGTAGGAGCATTAAACGATTTGGATTTCTCAAACAAGATAGGAGGGAAATGCCAATTGAAAGCACACACCTATGACAAATCCATTTCAACAAGGGTCATACACCCTCTGGTGTCTGAACTGCCGCTTAGGGGCACCAAGTGAGGTAGGAACACAGCTTCTTTGGGGCAGCCCCTAATGATGGGGGTCAAAGTGCCTGGTCACTTGAATGTCGTGGAAAGCTTGGGAGATTGCTTCTGTACCCTCTTGCTGGCATCGGGAAGGCCGGTCAGCAGTCACCGTGCACATTCTGTAACAAGCATAGTTGGTATTCCCAGCATAGCCCACTGGCAGAATGGGTCTTTGTCTTGAATCACTTCCCTCTGGGAGACACTCAGTGGCAGTTCCATCCAATGTCCAAGGAGAGAGAAAGGCCCATTAGTGGTTAGGCATAGTTTAGCATATTAGTTAACACTGCATCCTGTCTGATTTCAGAATTGACAAGTCATGTACAGGAATGCTCAAAATGTTCCTTCAACAGTACTGGGTAGGGCAGGGAAGTGAATAGTCAGAGGTAAGTCCCAAAGATTTCTGACTGTCTTTTACAGATGAAGAATCTGGACCCTCATTATGCTTTAACTGGGAAAATAAAACAGTCTTCCCCTTTAAAAAAAAGTTGGTTCCAATAAAACAAGAGACCAAAACCCTTTAACATAATATTTGTTCATTTCTGGGCTTCCCTGGTGGCACAGTGGTTAAGAATCCACCTGCCCGTGCAGGGAACATGGGTTCGAGCCCTGGTCCGGGAAGATCCCACATGTCGCAGAGCAACTGAGCCCACGTGCTGCAACTACTGAAGCCCATGCGCCCTAGAGCCCGTGCTCCACAACAAGAGAAGTCACTGCAACGAGAAGGCCGTGCAAGGCAACGAAGAGTAGCCCCCGCTCTCCACAGCTGGAGAAAGCCTGAGCGCAGCAACAAAGACCCAATGCAGCCAAAAATAAATAAATAAAATAAATAAATTTATAAAAATAATATTTGTTCATTTCTTTCAAAATTTTAGAGTAACTTTACTAAAAATTTGAAATGGCAAATAATTACCCAAGGTGTTTGAGACATGAATCAATGTATACATGTTGATATACTGATGGTGATATTACACAGTAGTCTTGCAAAATGCTACCCTTGGGGCAAACGGGACAAAGCATACAAGGGACCTCTCTGTGTTATTTCCTACACCTGCATGTGAACCTACAATTATCTCAATAAAAATGTTCAATTTTAAAAAGTGATAAAGATAGAAGTGGATGCAGGGAATCGGGCAGGCTTTCATAACCTGGCTTCACCCACTTCTTGGTTCTATAATAGTTTGTTTCTCCACTAGTCCCCTGAATGACTCCCTTCCAGCTGAAAGACGCTGATCCTAGCTTCTCAAACACACCAAGCTCAATCCCACCTCTGGGCTTTCTCCTATAGCTTCTCCCATCCCCACCTCATTCTTCCCAGCTCCAGCTTGCCTTCCCAGATGAGACCAAATGATAACACTGTCCCTGGAGCAGTCCTTACCATGTTAACAGTCACTTGGCACTTGTCCACAAATATTTCTTGAGCAAAGACTATAGGTGGAGTGTTGGCTCCAGGCACCAGGAACCAGGTGAGTTAGAAACCACATTCAACTGGTTTCTCTTCCTTCCTTTCTGGGAGCATACATTCTAATGAGGAAGTGTGGAAAAAACTAGTCAAGAAACAAGTTAAAAAAAAAAAAATCAAATCATGCTGAGGACCATGAAGAACGTCATGGGTTGGAGAAAGGCAGGTGACTTTAGCTCAAGTGACCAGGAAAGGGTTTCTAGAGAAGGTGACATTTGAGTTGTTGACCTGAAGTAAAAGGAAGCAGTCATCAGGAAGATGGTGGGGAGAAACAAAGCATTTCAGGCAGAGGCAACAACAGGAAAAAGGATTTTTATCCTGCCTGTAACTGAATATGAATACTGGGCATGAGTGTAAAGCAATGAAGTGGGTTTTCTTTTTGTGGACTGTGATTCCTTTTAATTTTAGGGCCCAAACTCCCATAGCATGTTTCCCTATATGAGACGCTGTGAATACCCTTCCAAGATTCCAAGTTGCTCTAATGCGTAGATGCAAGCTTAATTCAAGGCTGTGTCTTAGGAGATTTACCATATTTCTTTCTCACAGTCGGGGCCGTGGGCCTGCTGGTGAGGGTTCTGCACTGTCTAAGGGCAACATAAATTATGCCATTAAAGTTGGGTACCTACAAAACTAAGCTGATGCAAAGGCGGGCCGCATGCGGGGGATCTGGGTCATACAGCTGGGGGCAGGACGGTAATTTGCCGCCGGCCTCTGGGGTCTGTGCTTCTCTGCGGCGCACGAGGTCCCATCGGCTGTAGTAACCGGTTGGGAAGGGCCGGATTCCCAGGTCTCTGCGGGGTACCTCACGCTGTCACCGCAACCAGGAATCCAGTTTTCTGGATCCCCTGGTCTGCCTTTTGCCTAAGGCGACCAGCTGCGGCTCCTCTGTTCGCGAGGCCGGGAGAAGTCGGCTCTGGGGCACCCGGCGAAGAGGTTCGAGGGGTGATCTGTCCCTCCCCGGTCGCGACCTGGCACCGTTATCCCCATCACCCGGACCGGTAGGCACTGTCCCGGGGCGTCCCCCTGTTTCTCCCGGGGAGGGGGGCAGCCCAGACGACCAGCCCTGCGTCCCAGGGACGCGCCGCGAGCCCTTGGGTCCCTCCCCCTCCCACACCTCCCCCCCCTGCCCTCCCCCCGCCTCCGAGCCCGGCGACCCACGTGCAGCTCGGGCCGGGCTGGTGCCGCAACTCGGGGTCGGCGCGTCTCCCGGCTCTTCTGGGCGCAGCCCCGGGACGGGGACCCGCGGGGGGCGGCCTCGGCGGGACGGCGGCGGGAGCGGGGGCGCCCCGGAGTGCGGGCGCGGGGACGCGGCGGCCGCTGGCACACAAAGGAGGCGGCGGGAAGGCGGGGCGGGGCGGGGCGGGGGCGGGGGCGGCAGGAAGGGGCGGGGGCCGCGGGCGCCGCGATAAAGCCCCCGCCGCTGGGGCGGGCCCGCTAGCGCAGTGGGGCTGCCGGGCTGCTCGGGTTGCGCGGCGTGTGCAGGCGTCGCCGCCTCTTTCCTCCGCTGCCCCTCCTCGCCGCCGCCGCCGCCGCCGCCGCTCTTCCTCCTCCGACTCCCCCGCCCCACCGACACCCGGCTTCGGCTCGGGCCGCGCCGCACTCCGCGGCCGCCACCTGGGGATCCCGAGCGAGGGGCGGTGAGTACGGGCTGCGCGCCCCGCGGCCGATCCCGAGCGCCCGGGGCGGGAGGGGCGCAGCAGGCGCTGCCCGCCGCGCCGGGGACAGTCCCGGGGCTCGGCGCGCCGCCGGCTCCGCGCGGCGATCTTGCGCCGGGCCGGGAGGCTGCGGGGCCAGCGGGGCCGGGGGCGCCGGTGTCGAGGAGGAGGAACTTTCTCAGCCTCCCCCGGCCGGGCTGCCTCGGTCAAAGCTGCGTGCGCGCCCCGCACCCGTGCCCGGCCCGCGGGGAGCCCGAATAGGACCCGGGCGGGGCGCGGAGGGGCCGCGCCGGCGGGCCAGGTGTCCGCGCGGCCGGGAGTCCTGGGGCCAGCGTGTCTGCTGCTGCCGCCGGTCCAGCCTAGCGGACGCCCGTGACCCTGAACCTGGGATACCCAGGTACTCGCGGGCGTCCCCTACCCCGTACTTTGCGTGTGCGCCGCCTGTTCGCGAAAGACAAACGGACTCCTACTTGTTACCGCTGCCTGAGCGGGCTGGGGGTAACCGGTGATTTGGGGGAGAGCCTTTAAATTGGCTTCTGGCAACCGATGTAACCCCATGGAGCTGATCTTTGCCATTTTCATCGTCTGTAGAAGTGGGAATTGCAATGCTGATCAGTGCCTACAGGTAAGGTGAAAGTACTCAGAAATTCTGGGCGGAATTAGGTGTTTAATTTGCCTACAAACTGAGTGAGGAGGGAAGGCTTCTATTACATAAGACAGGACTCCACCTTCAGGTATTATGGAAGATGCTATTGAAGGTTTTAGTATTTTAATGAGCGAAAAATAGTCTTCGTGTGCGTCTTTCTTGAGAAATCTCGAATGCTGCTGTGTCTTGCTTTGACTACTTCGCAGGGAACGTTTTTATATTTATATTATTTATATTTAGCATCAACATAAAAAGCTGTTTGAAGGTTTGACTTCCTCTTTCAAGCCAGGAAGCAGTTTGCTCCTCTGAACTGTTCAGGAACAATTTACGTGATAATTTTATGCTTCGGAGATTTTATATCGGAAAGTTGAACACAGATAACTGGGGAAAAAAATGTAAGCGTTGCTAATTTGTATATCTAAAGCACACTTCAAAAATTGAAGATACTTTCAATGCTGACTGCATATCTAAATCAGTAATTATGTGCTGTTTGCAGTATTTCAGCAAAAAATTTTCTTCAGCTATGCAAATGAAGGTGTTAGCCTAAATCATCGAAGGCTTCTCTCAACCCCAAGTTTTGATGCTTTCTTAAAATCATGTTCAAAAATATTGTACAGTGCAGGGCAATTACTGAAGGTCATCAAGATGTCGCCTATCTCTTATTCTTTAAAAAAAAAAAAGAATCTATGCAGAAAATTTCTGCCTCCCATGAACTTCACATATTAGTGTAATTTGAAAAGGACAGAAATGATTCAGTCTCCAAAGGACAGTAATTTTCAGTTCCACACGAGTGATTAAATACTAGTCAGAGATTGTTTGAGGTGGCAGAGTGGGAAATGAGTGGTGACCTAGCCAGGTCCCAGCTACACTTCTCTGTGGCCGTTCTCTGCCAGCTAGTCACTCTCCCACAGCATGGGAGACTTTGGCCCGTGGGCTTTCTCTCCTCCCCTAGTCCCACAATCCATGCAGGGGATGCTTCCGATTCCTGCTTCCTTAACCATCTCGACTCCAGTGACTCCCACCCACTCCAGCTACTGGGTCCTCTACATCCAAGTCTTGCCCTCACCCAGAGACGCTCAGCTTCTGAAATCAGCATCTCAGTGTCTCTGCACCACAGGCTCCTTCCTTCCAGGTTGCAAACTGGTACTCCCATGGCAACTCTTCTTGAACACAAGAGATCTGTTCCCTTCCCTCCTTCCAGTTTGGCAGGTGACTTTCATGGCCCACTCTAATGAGAAAGTAGGGGTCACCGGTTTGAAGTCTCGCCACGTCCTACCCCATTTGCCTCCTACAGACTTTCCCAGATTTACCCACATCCAAGAAATCTCCTTAAGCATCTGTTGTGTCCAGGCACTTTGCTAGGCCCTGGTGTATGGTAAATATAGCCGGTCGCTGTTCTCTTGGAACAGTCTTTCCTGTGGCAGCAAACAGACACAAAGAAACCTAACTATGCTCTAATAAAATAAGAATAAGGCAGAATAATAGAAGAGAAATCAAGTTGGGGCGGGGACTTAGAGAAGGTTAGAGAGAAGACTTTCCTGTGGCAGTGCCTCATGTCTCCCAGTGAACTCTTTTCTTTTTTAACAGTGTTTTTAAAATGCCATAACCTCCCTTGTCAATGCATCCCCAACTCACCTACAGCCACCACCTGTCTCCCAGACTTCTTAAATGAGTTAACACTTCCCCAGGCTTCCCTTTTTTCTTAACTCTCTGCAAGCTGGCCAGAGACTCCCCAAAGTAGGAGAAGACCCCACAACTCCTGCATGAGTGGTCCTGAGCATGTGTCCTAGACCTCTCTGCAGCATTGGATACGGATCTTTCCTCTTTTTCTGATGGATGCTTTTCTCCTTCCCTAGTTGCCACCTCCTCCTGGTTTGCCTTCTGCCACCCTGGCACCTCCACTACCTCCTGGGGTGACCCAGGGCTCTGTTCTTACCCCTCTTCAGCTTCATGCAGAACGTTTGGGATACCACATTCCCACAGCTTCCACTTTCACCAGGACGAAGTGAGTCCCAGATTGGTACCTGCAGCTAGTTGCCTACAGTCTATGCCCTTCAGGCAGAAAAACCCACAGTAAGTCGAAAACTGATTTTAGTTCTCATCACCCACTCCGTACCTGTTTCAGCCTTGACCAAAATTTATCCTTTTTTTTTTTTTGCTAGTGACTCGGCTGTTTACCGAGGTGCTAAAGCAGGAACCTCCCTCCCAGGGACGCTGCCCGCATCCAGTCACCGAGTCCTTCTCGTGCTGTGAAATCCCATAAACCTCTGCTCTAGTCACCATGGCCCTGCCCTGCTTTAGAGCCCAGAAGTGGCAAAATGGTGGCCAGTGTGCCAATTCCAGCTGGCAGATGTGTTACTGGCTTGAACACAAGTATACAAAAATCGTGTGAATATTTGGAAATGTTACGATATCACTTGGATTTATAGCTCCTCTTAAAAACCAGGAGGCCTGGAACAGGAGGCCTACGTTCCCACGTGGCAGTGCTTGGCCGGCACGGAGCTCCCAGTGCCTGGCCATGCTGGAGGCTGCTTGCTTTCCGCTTCCTCTTGCACCCGCGGTTCCCATTTACAGCAGCTTCCTAGCTCCCGTGGGCTTCCAACCGTAGGCTGGGGGACCGTCAACAGCCCGGGAATGCTGAGTGGCTGACTGCACCGTTTCCTGCCTGGTCTGTTGCACTAGCTCTGCACCCCTTTCAAACCATCATCCACATTGCTTCTGGGGCTACTTCCTCAGGGCCCTCAAATCCGAATCTGCTTGTGCCCCTCCTGATAAAAACTCAGTGCCTCCCTCTTGCCTTGGGGACAGACCCCGACTCTGAAGGAGTAGCTGTGTTGCGTCACAAGCTAGGTATCTCAGGTAGAAAGGTGAGCTTTCTATTGACTTTTTAAGGTGATGTACCTGCATTTCTCAAAATGCTTTTGAACCTCTATAAGGAAGGTCGCTAATATGTAATTCCAGTGTTAGCTCACCCTTACTGAGATGCAGTCTCTGCTGTTTATAAACCATTTCCACAGGCCTCACCACCTTCCCACTGCCTCATAACCACTCTGGAAGGAGACGGGGCAGGGTTGATTCCACATCCCAAGGCATGGGCTGCCCCAGAAGACCTCAGCCCTTGGAACATGGCGGAGCCCATTTCACATGGTGCCCAGAGTCATACAGTATGTCCCCAAGGTCACTCAGCTGCCTTTGGGCAGTCCTGTCCCAGAATTCCTCAGCGCTCAGCCAGGGAACTTTCCACAGTGCCCTGCTCTCCTCCCTAGCAACTCCCCAGACTGCTCCATTTGTAATGACAGAGTCCAAGCTTTCTTCAACCCTTTCCCACCTCCCTGCCTTGTACCCTCCCGCAAACTTTATTCTCTTGCAAAACTGAACTCCCTGCAGACTCCTCACACCATGGCGGTGCCCTTACTCCCCGCCTTGGCTCCTATGGGACCTCTGCCTGGAATTCTCTTTCTCCATCTTCTGCATTCATTGTCTGGCCAACTTCCCCTTTTTCAAGACTCATGTCTAGTATCACCTGTTCCAAAAAGTCTTTCCTGAAGACCAGTATCTCCCAGTCCCCTGTGGCACCCGTGTGGTGTGTGCACACACATGTACATCCTACCAAGTGGATGCCTCTCTGACGGCGGTTACTGTGTCATAGCAACATACTCTACCCACCAGATTCTTAGTGCCGTGAAGTCGTGCCTGTGTTCTGGTTTCATTCGTACCAGCAGTGGTGCGTGACCCAAAGGCATTTAATGGATGTTGAACTAAACCATATTCATATTTTTCATAAGTTTGCTTCACACTTTATGAAAGAGAGCTTGTCTTTGGGGCTTAAAGAGGAGCTCTCCTCCCAGACCTCTACCCCTGGTGCCAGGTACTTCTGCATTTAATATATATCTTCACATTAAAAAAAAAAATCTTTGATCAACCATGTCTTCTAAAAGACAGAACATTACTTAGAAAAAAGCAGAAGTCTAATACAGAAGTGCTTCTGTGTCTGTGTTCACTTCAGTTACCCTCATCCGAACCCTCTTTGGCTTCATTCTGTCTTCCTTGAAGTCCACTGGCTGTACTTCGTATTTCACAGTTTATGCAAGGTAGGAGAATACCTTCTGATTTATTTCCATTAACCTTCTCGGTGAGGGTGATACATGCACTCTTGCTGACCCTTGTTTTTCGTTTTGTTTTGTTTTTCAATTTTTGCCAGGGCAGTTTTTTGGCTAATGTCTTAAGCCGGGTTTGGTGGAAAGAGCCCTGGGTTGGGAGAGGGTCTGGGCTATGCCACAAGCGATTTACATAGTTGACTATCTAGAACTTAATTTCCTTGCCTATACAATGGGTG